TGGGGATGGGAGGTGGGGATAGGGTGTACGGATGGGATGTGGGGCTGAGGGGGGGGGATGGGGTGTGGGGATGGGTTGGGGCTGGACGGTGGGGTTGGAGGGTGATAGGGTGGAGATATGGTGTGGAGATGGGGTAGGGATGGGAGGTGGGATGGAGGGTAGGCACTGGAGTGAGGATGGGGACTGGGGATGGGGTGGGGATGGGAGTGAGGACTGAGGATAGGGATGTGAGGATAGGGTTGGGGAGTGGGTAGGGACAGGGATAGAGATGAAGTGGGATAGAAATGGGGATGAGGGTTGAGGGTGGGGATGGGAGGTTGGGGTAAGGATGGGTAGGTAGAAATGGTCCTAGGATGGTGGTATGGATGGGGGTGTGGATGCATGGGTGCTAAAGCATTTTCTCTCTGAGCTTATGTCTCATCGAGAACCCCCCAATTAGCTTTTAAAACTGTGTCTCTCCAGATGGGGTGGCACACTCCTGTAATCCCCACACTTGGTAAAATGGGCTGGCATATACCTGTAATCCCCACACTTGGAAGATGAACACAAGTAGATCTGGAGTTCCAGGCCAGCCTTAGCTACCTAGTAAGTTTGAGGTCAGCCCTGACTACATAAGACCCTGTTCAAATAACAAAACCAAAAATGTCCACATTTTGTTATTTCTACGTATTAAGGTGATTTAATGTTATGACAAATGCTTTGTATTTTTGTTCTTCTCTAGTCCATTGGCGAGAACTGAAGATTGGTGATGGCTTGTAGTTTGTTACGATAGTTCCTCCCAATCATGAGGCAAATTCTTGCTTGCATCCCCATAGTTACCAAGCTGGTCACTGTTCCATTTTGCTACTGTTGAGACTGAGGCCTCCAGAGGTGATTCAGCCTGATGCTAAGAGGCAAGTGCAGTGGACTATTGCAGAGACCACAAGGTTTGTGCTTCTGGCTCTGCGGGATGCTTGGAGGGCCTCAGGGACCCTAACTTCAGCTCTGGGACCACACAGATCAAATGCATGCAAGAGGACACACCTGTCTCTTATACATGGCCTAGGCAAGATCATGTAGTCAGGTACCTTGACAGTGGTCTCTTCTAGAGAAAGAATGGAGATAGAATTAGTTGCCAGTTCTACCCACATGCAAGGATGCACTGCTGGTCACCATGGAGACACAGACAGCGTTTCTTTTTGCTATTCAGATCAAGAAGAGGATGAGAGGTTGACTCTCATGAATGCTAACGGGCTGTCCTTTTAAACTAACTGCCCCGTCACCTGCTCTGCACCTCCCCAAATGAGTGCACTTGAAGAAGACCCAGACTTTTCAGACAAGTCAAATTCATTGTCTTACTTTCCCTCACGGTCCCAAGTCTAGGCTTTTGACTTTCTAGTTGTTTCCCTAAAAGTGAGCTATGTCTCAGAGGGCCTGTGGAATCTCCTGTGGGTTTGAATTTGGCTTGGAAAATCTGTACTAGCCTAGACCAGTCAATGGATGGAGCCCAGGGCTTACATACACATCTACACAATTATACTTGCACTTAGGAAGATGTCATTTCTGAACACACAGTGCTGAAAACTGTGTGTTCCCAGTTGAATATTCCAAATGTCTCTGCTGAAGGCACAGGCAGACTTCATTCCTGCCTCAGCAACCAAAATCCTCAAGTTCTATGAACACGTGTTTCATTCTAATTTCACATCCATACACACGTGACAGTTCAGTCCTCCGCAATGGTGGCATCCAGGCAACGGGCCCCATGTGTGATGTACCCTCCCTCCAACCCCCAAATCAGTGCATTACATGTGGGCTAGAAGAACAGAAAATCAAGGCTGGGGTTGTGGCTAGGCTGGTAGAATTCTCTATCTAGCATACACAAAGCCCTGGGTTCTATCCCCAGCACTCCATAAACTAAGGGTGGTGGTGCAGACCTGTCTAAAAATTAAAACAACAACAAAAAACCAAAACAATCAAACCAAAAGCAAAGTCTTAAAGTTTTCTCTTTTAAAAATATTTATTTTTATTTCTCTTTGTGTGTGTGTATCTGTGTGTCTGTCTGTGTGTCTGTGTGCTTACACCATATGTATGTGGGTAGCTATGGAGACCAAAGGAAGCCACAATATCCTCTGAAACCAGAGTTAGGCAGTTGTGAGCTTTCTGAAGTAGATATGTAGGTTCTGGGGACTGAACTTGGGTCCTTTGCAAGAGCACCAAGTGCTCTTGACTATGGAGCTGTCTCCCCAGCCTTAGTCGGTTTCCTTGTCCCTCATGGTGTTCCTGATAAATAAGGCCCAGTACTGAGCAAAATCCATGTTTCCAGAACCTAGACCTTTGTGCTCAGCAAGCGGACCTGGCTCCTCTCCAGGGCCGGTATCTTCTGCACTCTTAATCAGGGTCCTTCTGGGTACTGAGGAGCTCTCTGTCCTTCAGCCCAACTAGGCAGCATGGCCACTTTCAGTAGGCCTGAGGAACATGTGTCTAAAGTGCGGTGCTGAGGGTCTGAAGGCAGTGCTGGCTCTCCCAGGGCAGGCACAGCCTGGGCCCCAGTGTAAGAGCAGTCAGACTACCCTGTGTCAAAGCCAGGCAGATACGGATGGAAATCAGGTCAGTGTGCGCCCAGTGACCACAGGTGACACTTACATAGCATCTCCAGGGTCTAAACATTTTCTTCTTAGCACTTGGAAACTTGCCTGCTTCTTCGTGGTATTTGCCCTTTGAGGTACAGCAGACAGGAAACTGAAACGCAGAGTCTGGGGACCAGCCCCACACCGCAGGGTGGGGAGTGGTGGGCCTGAGGTTTGATCTCAGCTGCTCTAAGAGATGAGTGGTTCAGAGGTGCCTCTGCTCCATGTGACCAGGGTCTCACTTAACTGCTGCAGTGACGTCAATTTATAGGGCAGGGTGACCTACACCTGAAGTCAGGGGACCTGGGCATCCCCCTCCTGTCTCTGTGTGGCTCTACCTCTACATGCAAACACCATAGCAGTCACAGATTTGGTCTTCCTGGCTACTTGGGTCAGCCCCCAGCTGGAGGAGGCTAGAGGCTGCTGGCTGCCTCCTGTGTGAGGCAGGCACATGCCAGCCCCTCCAGGAAGAATTCTGCCTGCTTTCCTTTCCCCTTGACCCAGAGGGGAGGGGTGCTGTCTGTAAGCAGTTCCTAACACTGTTGCAGGAGCCCTAGAGAGGTGGGAGTCTGAGCGTCAGCATCAGTCTAAGGTCTGTTTTTAATGAACTCTGAAAGGTTAGCTTGCTCTACTGGCTTTGTCCTAGTGACAAATGTGCATGCATTTACCACGTGCATGGCCCCTGCTGTGTGTTTGTGTGCGCATGTGCATGTCTGCTTAAATGTGTGCTTTTGTGTGTGTGTGTATTTGTGTGTCTGCATGTGTGTTTGCACACGTTTCTAAGTGTGTTTGTGTGCTTGTGTATGCATGTGTGGGTTTGTTTGTGTGTCTGCTCACATGTGCATATGTGTATTTGTATGTTTTGTACATGTATGTAGCATGTGTTTGTGTGTCCGTGTTTTATATATGTGTACATATATATATAAGGTGTGTGTTTGTCTATGTCTGTTGTGTGTTTTTGTATGTGTGCAATTGTCTAAGTGTGTTGTGTGTTGTGTTTGGTTTTGCATGTGTATCGTATGTATTTGTTTTTGTATGAGTGTTGTGTGTATTTATGTGTATTGTATGTTTGTTTTTGTGTTTGTGCTGTGCGTTTTTGTGTATCATGTGTATGTGTTTGTTTTTGTACATGTGTTGTATGTGTTTGCAGATATGTTTATGTGTATTATGTGTGGGGTTTTGTATGTAGAATGGTCAACAGCAACAGCAGCTCCTTTATGGAAATTTTTTCATATTTGAAGCTGGGTCTGTCTGTGGTCTAGGTGAAAAAGAATCCTTGGTAAAGAATGTTTAAAACCAGGGAGTATGGATGTAGCCCAGTTTGTAGAGTGCTTGCACCGCATTCAGGAAACCCTGGGTTTGATCCCAAGCTCTGCTTAAAATAAACCAGGCATGGGGTACACACTTAGGAAGTGGAGTCAGGAAGACCAGAAGTTCAAGGTCATCCTCGACTACATAGTAAGTTCTAGAACAGCCTTAATGACTAAAGACCCTAGCTCAAGAAAACAACAGGGTGGTGTGATCACTCAGTGTGCAAGGGAGCTGGCTGCCAAGGCCAACAACCCTAGTTCAAACCCTGGAACCCACACAGTGGAAGGCAGGACCCAACTCTGACAAGTCATCCTGAGACCTTCACCCACACCCCACACAAAGTAAATAATAAATAAATAAATAAATAGGTCAAAAGCAAAGAAGAATGTTTAAAACAAGAGTGGCTGTCCTGTTCTGACACAAAGTCATCTTTGTCAGTGGGTTTCTGTAGAAACAGCAGCATATGTGCTCCTCAAAAGCAGCTATGAGGTCTTGCACCATCTCTGAGTGGCACCTCCCATTTGCAAGGCTTTTCCTCCTACCTCTCAGGATGAACCCAGGACCTTTGCAGCCCTGGGCAAATGGTGCGGTGGTCCAAAGATTCTGTCATGGGGCAAGGAGCAGCTCTTCTCCCACAGCTCCGCAAGCTGAACCCCTGAGCGAAGCCACCACCATCGGCATCGGAGCCAGACAGAGCTGAAACTGAGCCCCAGAGCACCCCCTCCCCCACTGTGGTAGCCGGAACTCAGAAGTACTGGTAACAAATGTATATGCATGCCTCTATTTGCATATGCAATGTGTGTGCATGCACAGCTCCCCACACATACACGTAATGGAGATCTGCGGGAACTAGTTTCCATGTTTATGCAAATAGTACCGAGACGGATGATGGATATTTTCCTTTATAAATGGATGGTGAGAAGGAAGACGACTTAAGGAAAATAATGAAAGAACCGAGAATAATGTTTTCAATTTCCTAGGTGGAAAAGTCATTTCCCAGATTAAACTGTCTGTTACTACCTTCGTGGCTAGTCTGGCTCAGCTTAAAATTCTTGTAGTACTTTCGAATTCATTCCTGTTTTAGATGCTTTATCAAGGCAGATGGATGACACTTCATTCCATTGCTAGAATTTGGTAAGCAGTATCAAAGGGATGCTTCCCTCCCTGTCTCCTCCCTGTGGCCTCATCCCTCATGACTCCTGTCTGTTCCCCCACCTTGGCGAAGAGACAAGAACACTTTCTGCTTTGTTTTATGGCTATCTTGAAAATAGGCACCAGCTCCTGCATAGTGTAGTATACAGAATTTTAATGAGCACAAATCGAGCAGCTTGGTCCTTCAGTCTGGTAGGAGAGGGTGACGTCAGCCTGTCCAGGAAGCATGGAACTGATTTTAGAATTGCTCTGAGAGTGAGTAGCTCAGTGGGGTGGGTTAGCACGAGGACACCACACTCTGGCCCAGCCTTCCTCCCTATCTATCCATACCACAAGGAACAGAGACCTGAATTGAATCTTCAGAGTATGGATGCCCTTCAAAATAAAAATCGAGAGGTCAAAGAACACTGATGGTTTTTAAAGAGTAAATTTTGTAATTTGTTAATTGTCATAGAGTTGAAATGATCCAAATCGACTGAGTAGATTTGTGTGTCTAGCTCTAGAGTTTTCTTTCCAATTTTAGGCTTTGATTCATTTTGCTCGTCGTGGACAATGGTTCTTTTGTGCCACCTCTTCTGTCCCTTTCTTCCTATCTCCCTTCTACACGTGTCTAGAAGTACAGGTTAGACCTTCAGTGTAAATCGTACTGTCCAGGGTTTTGTTTCTCTCCTGCTGTGTAAAGTGAGAAACTCCAGTATCCAGGGCAGAAAGCTGTGTGGTAAGCTGGCTGTCAGGAGAGGCAATGTTCACTGAGATACTGATAATTGCAGAGCCCCATATACACTCTCCATGCCAAAAGACAGACTAAACAATAAAAAATGAAGCCCTACTCCAAAGCGGGACCCAACGGATCACACACTCTTCTCTCAGGGCTTTAGAACACAGATGTGCGCACACACTGCTGTAAAACTGCAAGGCCGCTCTTTTCCTTTTTCCTTTCAACTTGATGGTTTAGCTTGTGACTAATGAGTTAATTAATTAGCAAAGATTTTTAAAGCTCAATAAAGAATAAACACACTATTTACTGCAAGGCTGTGTTATATAACCCCCGAGAAGACCGTTTAAGCCTTAAAGCTTCTTATAAAGCAAGGAAAACAAACAAACAAACAAAAACGAAACCATCAAACTCTCTCAATTCAGAACAATGACTTCCAGACATTGTATTAACCTTTTTAGCAACTAACTTTAGTAACTCGAGGTTTCATTTTAATTTTTTGATACTAGGTCTCACTGAGTAGCCTCCCCTAGTCTGGATGGAACTCACTGTGCCTTGGCCTCCGGATTGCTGGGATTACAGGCCTGTGGTACCATAACTGGCTCAAGGCTTTTATTTCTTGAATTTAGGTGATTCTGTGAACACTTTCCTGATGGAGACAATTCCAAATAAATATTCTTCAACAATGACCATTACTATAAACATTGCTGAGACCACTTTCGTCCCATCCCCACCAACCTGACCAGTTAATAATTTCTAAGCTCCAGGCTGGACATGGGAAACATGCAACAAGGTCCTCAAAGACCTTAGAGGAGAGAAAAACCAAATATTTCACAATACCAGAGAGACTCAGCATGTGTCCAATGAGTGTCCCAGAATAAACTGTTCCGGAAGTGAAGATAAAGAACTTGGTGTGAGTTGCTGTGGGTCACAAATCCCAACAGAGGAAGTTGAACTTGAGGTTGATTTTCCAGAGCTTCATGGCCTTTGTGGAGGTAGAGTTCATCCTAAATTGAAGGAAGGAGACCCATGCGAAAGTAGATGTCCAGGCCAGCTGGGGCTACAGGGAAACCCTGTCTCAAAAAGACAACAGCAACAAGAAAAACAGCAAAGCGGATGTGGCTGCTGCCTCCTTCAGACTTGGTGCTGACTGCCCAGGACTGACTTGAATGCCGGTGCCACTCAAGCTGATCAGAGAACACCTCAAACGCCAGGCCGAGGAAACTGCGTTTAATTTACAAAGAAATAGAATATTTCATAATACCTAGAGATTTCAAAACCAGAAATCACTGAAGCGGTTATTTTACCACTCTGAAATGCTAGATGAGTCATCAGCTTGTTTGGTAAAATGATTAACCAGCTGAGGGACTGCACCAGGACAGAACGAAAGGGCAAACAGGACTCACGCTGTGTGGATGAGCCAGAAGCCTGAGCACCTCTTCCCAGTAATTACAAGAGGGAAAGGAAAACTCCAGCCTGTCAACATGCCTTCCACGTAGCACTGTTCAATATCTTCTAGCTGGAGATATGAATAAGTAACCATTTGGCTGATGAACCCAATAAAGTGAACAAGAGCCACCATGGAAGGCCTAGGAGGAAATTGCCTTTGCTACAACTCACTTTCTGCTTCATTAAAGATTAACTCACTTTTATCTACCTATGATGTAAGGTGGGATGAGGAAATAGATCCTTTTCATTCTACCTTTGAAAGACAAATGAAGATCACCAGGAACAAACAGACAGAAAACAACACAAGGCCAAACAGAAGCCCGGCACAGCCCACATGTTAACCAGCTGAATGGTACTGCTGATTCAGTGTCCCTGGGGGAAAAGCAGCTAACTGTCCTCTTAAAGAAGAACATTCAAATGTTTTCCAGGTGGCTTTTACTCTGTCAGAATCCATTATGGGGAATGGGGGTGGAAATGTACAGGCTTCAGATATCCAGCTGATAAGAAGCAATACCTGAATTATTTCTAAATGTCCTGGGAGTCCAGAGGCAGCCTAAAGCATCTCTGTTTGGATGTCATTTTCAATCAGTTGCAGCTGTTACTTGAGCTCTCATTTACCCATAATCAGAAAAAGGGCTTGAGCTTGAATCAAGCTTCTTTAACCCTGGGCAAGAGAAAGAGGTTGAAAAAAATAGCCAGTGGGGTCTGGTGGCATGCCTGTATCCCAGAACTCACTAGGCAGAGGCAGGAAGATCTCTGTGAGATCTACAGCCTGAGCTACATAGTGAGACTCTGTCTCATAAAATAAAAAAGTCAATATTGATCATGTACTCACTAGGCAGAGGCAGGAAGATCTCTGTGAGATCTACAGCCTGAGCTACATAGTGAGACTCTGTCTCATAAAATAAAAAGTCAATATTGATCATGTGATACTTTGTGTTTTTAAAGTCACGGGGCATCCTGAGAGTAATGAGTTGAAGAGTCAAAGTTGATTTCTACTCGAGACTAATATTTTGGCTGATTTGGGAAATGTGAGGATCTCTTCAATAAGGAGTTTACCCTCAGCATCATTCCGAAAATGCTGGTTCAAACATTGCAATTTGTAAGGTGTTCAATTGATGTTTGTTTTTCAATATTAGCTGTCACCCATCTTTATTATGAAGGTTCCCTCCAAAAGATGGTACCCTTGGGGTTGCCATTAGGAACTGGATTTCAGGTAATTCCTGTACCTGCCTTGGTAGTTTCCTCATCCAATCTATAAAATAAAAGGTCAAAGGGGATAATCTCTAAGGCCTATTCTAGAACTACGTCTGTTATTTGCATACTTTTAATTTACATACTTTTAATTTTAATACGGCTTTCATTCAAACTGGCAGTGAGTGCTACGCGTTCAAACCCTAGAGCAGTGCCCACAGCGTTGAAATGGGCGTGTTTAACAGCAGAGCCTGTTGGCAGGTGTGCTGGGTGTGGCCTCTTTTGTACCCATTTGTCTTACTTGGTTACAGTGGCTCTGGGTGAAGCACCATCAACATCTCTTGGGGACCTGTTGAACATGCAGATATCAAGATTGATCCCGGACTCTGGTGTCAGGAGCCGTTAGTGGAAGTCGAGACCCAGCTCAGAATTTTAACAAACTCTTTAAGCTTGGTAGTATAGTCCTGTAATTTCAGCACTTGAGAGCTTGAGCAGGAGAATGGTAAGTTCAAAATAGATTGTGAAACAGTGATATCTTGCTCCAAACAAAAACAAAAACAAGACAAGACAGGAAAAAAAAAAGAATGTCCAAGAGATTAAAGTGACAAGTTTAAAGTCTGAAGTAGTGACTGATTTAGGTCTATGTCCTGCCTGACCTTAGCCCCAAGTATTACAGAGAACCCTCCACTGTTTATCAGAGGGGTTGGGATACACCGCACAGCCAGATCAACTCTATTGCAACTTGCAGATTTCCAGCTATTAATTCGTATTTAATGTGTTTTTCATTAAGCCCTCAGGGCACCTCTTGCTGCAAATGGAGCCTTTCCCCTGAGCTCACAGTTCCTCCTGCCTTTAGTCAGCTAGGGCTCAGTTCTGCGCTCCCTCCCTGCTGGGTTCTCCCACATCCCCATCTCCCGTCATGCTATTTTCTCTATTGTCTGGAGTAAAGTCTGGATTTTGTTATTCAGTATAAATTCATCCAGCCTTGGAGATAACTTCCAACTGCAAGAAAGTTTTCCCACCCTGTTCAACCTCCCCCCCCCCTCTGCATCATGGGGCAGGGCTGCCTGGGGAGTCTTCAAGATCTGTATCACCTGAAGTACCCTTCTGCAGAGCGCTTGTCCTACCCACTCACCTGGAAGAGGTTTCCTAAAAACACATATTCTCATCTTCTACTCCAGCCAGTGACGACTCAGAACCTCCAGGGAGCAGGATTCCTGCCTTTGACCAGGTTGGTGGGACGTTCCATGCTGTTAGATGGGCTGTTTAGCACTGAGCTCACACAAGGCAAGACTTTAGGGCAGATGGGTGACGGGATCTCTCTCGTGACTACACCATGGACTTTCACTTTTAGCTTTGCTACTAACTGCAAAAGCAGCCTATCAGCAATAGACAACATAAGATGTACACAGGTGAGTGCATGTGCTTCAATAAAACTTTATTTATAACAACAGGCAGCAGTGGCCATAGTTCACTGACCTCTAGGAATAATTATTTACTTTGATAAAAATTAACTAGTGTGTTACCTTGAACTTGGTAGAAGCTTTTGGAACAAACAAATCAATCCAAGAGCACTCTGTAATGTAGCGTCACACATTAAAATAGATAATTATCTCACTGCAATATTGCTGGAGGATTTTGAGTAAAGTCCGTGCTGACATGTGGAAACTCTTGGTGGTCTGGGCAGAGGGGTAATCAAAAGCGCAGAGCCTCCTTCTGAATTCTAATTTAGTCAGCTCATTTCTTGGTTTTCTGTCTACAAATTATATTCAATCTCATTGACTTCCCAACAAAGGCTTGGCTGAGCAATAATTTGTTGAACGTTTAAAAAAACATGCTGAATAAATGCTAAGTGTTTGCCCAGCAGAATAACCAGGAGTCAGCAGTCCTCCCCAGCAGAGACTTAACTTAAATGTCTCATAGAAAGTGGCACTTTGTCCCCAACTAAAATGTCTCCCAGCTATCCCAGCTTGCTGAGGAGAGACCTCAGCTAGTTGTGTGGCTGAGCCTGGAGGACGGCAGGATCAAAGCGTGTTTAAAGTTGCTAAGAGGAAGCAGCTGCTTTTCTGAGCTCTGCAAAAGACTCTCAGAGTTTCCAGTGAAATATAAACTTACCGAAGGCCCTGTGGGAGCCTGCCTTAAAATGTCATGCTTTTGTTTATTCCTCTAATAAGCAGCACACGGGTGAGATGTGTGGTTCTGAGAGAATCAGAGACGAGTTAATCAGCTACAAACAATAAGGAACTTTACACTGGCTAAAGAAATTGGACCAGATGTAAAAAAAAAAACCAACAACAAAGACCCTAAGGCAAGATTAAAACAGTCGTTTCCCTCAAGTCTGTGATAGCTCTCTTCACAGATCTGTCTCTGAATACCGGGGTGGCTGGATTACCCTGGTTGGCTGGACTACTAATTACTGTTCTTTGAGATCTGTTCCTCCGTTTTCCCAAGTAGAAGGTTTTTCTTACCTGTTCAATGGGTTGTAACTTTTCCACTATGCTTACTAACCAGGAAATATCTCTCTCTCTCTCTTTTTTTTTTAAAGAGTCATTTGTTTCTAAAATCAAGGTTGGAAACTAATGCTTTGAACAGTGATCCAAATGCTGGCAATTATATTTTTAGCCAGGAAAAAAAAAAAATACCCAGAGACTGTGTTGTTCCTGGTCCCGATGGCAGTGAGTTCTCATCCTGTGGAGAAATGTCCTGTTTTAGCTATAGTCCTTAAGACAAATGACAGAATGTGTGAGTCCAGTTGGGGAGAGCATGGGAGGGTGCCAGTGGGGACGGGGGATAAAGATGATTAAGATTGATTGAGATGTTCTGTACGAAATACACAAAAATTCAATAATAAATACATAAATTATATGAATAGAGATACTTGGAAAAAAAAGTTGGAGAATGTATGTCCATAGAGACAAGGGCTCATACAAGGTTTAAGATGAACCTGATGGTGGTATTTTAGGTTCCTGAACTGTAAGATGTTTTCAGTGTTGAAGTCACAGGCCAGAGTCAGTAAACTTCTTTCTGTTTACCCGTTCTTGGTAGACCAATGACAAACTGATCACATGTGAAGCACAGCTAAAAGTGGCATGGTGACGTCAATAGACAATCAATGGATTTAGGCTCTGAAGTATTTTTTATTTTTTTATTTTAATGTGTATGAGTGTTTTGCCTGCATGTATATAAGCATACTATGTGTGTGCAATACTCGCAGAATCTAGAAGAGGGTGTTGGAGCCCCTGAAACTGGAGTTACAGATGGTTGTTAGTCTCCATGTGGGTGCTGGGAATTGAACCTGGGTCCTCTGGAAGAACAACTGTTCTTAACCACTGAGCCCTCTCTCCAACCCCATAATTTCTAAAGTATTTTTTAATTGATTTATTAATTTAGGAAAAAAAATCTCAACACCATCAAGAAGGAAGGCACACGTTAACAGGTTTTAAAAATATTTTATTTATTATTTTTATTTCATACGTATTGTGTATTGCCTGCATATATGTAAGTGTACCGGTCGGATACCCTGGAACTGGAATTATGGACAGTTGTTAGCTGCCATGTAGGTGCTGGGATTTGAACCTGGGTCTTCTACAAGAACAGCCAGTGTTCTTAACCACTGAGCCATCTCTCCAGCCCCACATGTTAACAGGTTTAGAGAGAAGGCAGATGTCCCTGGAAGACTGTGGAGCATTTATCTTAGTGAGTGTAAAGGGAGTTGCCTGGCTTGCATTTTTCAAGAGAGGAAAGTCTATCTAGGGTGGTCACACCATCTGCTTTGTCTAAGAAGCACCAAAGTGTCTTGGACCATAAACATCTCACCTTAAGAACCAGTTCCCCAAGACAGAAAGAAGAATCCTGATTTTTTTTTTTCACACGGGTAGCGCCTTTCTGTCACAGGTTAGGATATGGGCCTGAATTAATGGCTCATCTTTGAAATGGCAGTGGCTAGCTCCTGGGCTGTTTTTCTATCCATTTCAAGGAAAGGATAAATTATTCCATCTTGTCTGAGAAACATGCCACAGTCATAGAGTCCCAGGACTGGAAGGAGAGCTCAGACTTTCACAGATGAAAATGGGATTCATGAAAGATCATTTTGGGGGCTGGAGTGATGGCTTAGTGGGTAAAGCACTTGCTGGATATGTGTAAGAATCTGGGTTTGAACCTGGCACCCACGTAAAAGCCAGGTGTAGCCCAAGTCTCTGTAATCCCAGTGCTCTGAGGAAACACAACAAGACCCTGTCTCAAAGAAGGTTGATGGTAAGGATGGACCCCCCTTCCCGAGGCTGACCTCTGGCTTCCACATGCATGTCATGGCACACATGTGCCCACATAAAAGTACACACACACACAGAGTCATTTCTTCCCCTAACATTTTTTGTTGCTTACAGCAAACATTCATATAAAGATTTTCAGTTTACAAATTGATTCCCCTTTCGTTATTTTTCTTTGGTTATTATAACATCCTTCGATACGATATGTTAGAATAATCAGTCTAGTGCACTGATAAAAAAATTTGGGTCCAGGGAGATGATGTGAAGCCAAAAACAGTCCGTGGATGTGGAGGGCAGAGAGAGGTTGAGTGTGGTGCCTCTCCCCATCACTACTCTGTCAGAAGCCACTGGAGTGTAATTCTTCTCTGGCCCTTGAATCTTTTCATGTTTGCTTACCTGCACTACTACCGTTTCAGATGAAGCCATGATCATTGTTTTGTGTGTGTGTGTGCTCTTCTTTTACTTGTGAGAATTTCATACATGAGTATTTCCTTTGCAATATCCCCATTCCGCCTGGTCCACCATCCTTCCCATGTCCCCCCATTCCCTCTTAATTTCTTTGATTATCGTTACATAAACATGCATGCATTGATAAATACACATGTGCACAACACACATGTATAATGTACTCACTCCATTTAGAGGTACTCATGTGTACCTGTATTCAGGGCTGCCCACTTGGGATTAGATAACCTCTTAAGGATCTAGTTCCTGGAGAGAACTGATCCTCCCTCCCTCAGCATCCATTGATTGCCCTGATTGCCCCTTGCTACATTTCCCTCCAGATCACACTGCCAACTCAGTTTTGGTCCACTCGCTAACCATGTTTGATGCTAGCCCATCTCCAAGTAGTCCAGAACAGAGGCATGGCCACCTAGCGGTCAAGTTTAAGACTTCTAATATTTCCCAGAGCACATGTCAACAAAGGCCTCTGTGGGTCTATTGTCCTGAATCTCACCCAGCACTCACCATACTAATCCCCACCCCCGTTGTCCTCCGAACCCAGGGACCTTTTTCTATCTTTGTCTCAGAGTGTTGGTGGACACAAGGAAGCATGAGGCAGGAAAGAGGAAAACCTCTTCAGCTTTGAGAATGAGGGCCAGATGAACTGGATTCACCTCAATTTCTATTAGCCGGGATTGTGCCGGATATGTGATAGGTACTCCACAAGCATTTGCTGAATGAGCAGATGCTTAAAAGATGGGTGCTTCTATTCTGTTCAAAGCCAAAGTTGCAGCGACTCTATTTACTGATGGCAATGAAATGCGTTTACCATCTCCAGAACTTTTGACTCATGATGGAAATGGAGGCTTCATTTAGCATTGTTATTTTTTCTGCAAACTTGTCCTTTTTATTTTTTAAAAAATCCCATTATTAGAAAATTTGAAACAAAATAAAAAGCAGTTACCAAGAACAATAATGGTGTCTCATTTGGCATACCCAATAAATCAGTGTCCCGTCATGTCCAATTCTCACTGCCCTATTGGTCAATGGAATAAAATTGAAGCCCAACTCTCACAATCACGGCCCCAAAGGGATAATTATTGGACTTGCAGAATGCAGGATGATTCCTGCTTTCAATACACAGAAAGTTGAATACATACATCCACCACAAAAAAGGACAACTCTGTTCTTCTCTTCAAATTACCCTTTCTTTTCTTGATTATAAATATTCTAAGATGCCCACATGTGTATTTGTTTATATATATGTACGTGAATACATTGTAGGTTAAGAATGCCCATGAAGAAAGATGTGTGTGTGCGTGTGCTTCGTTTTTTTTTTTTTATTTTTACTTTTTACTTTCTGAGATTGGGTGATCTCACTTAATATTATAAATTCTAGGTCCATCCATTTTGTTG